GGGGGAGGGAGAGGAGGAGGAGAACGAGGAGGAGGAGGAGGAGGAGGAGGAGGAGGAGGAGAATAGGTTTATGGTTAAGGATGAGAAGGGACCGGGATTGTAGCTCAATGGTGCTGTGCCTGTCTGGCAAGCACAAGGTCCTGAGTTTGATCCTTTGTACTGGAAACAAACATCTAGGACATGATTTGTGGTGGAGAGCTTAAGGCATGGAAGTTAAATTGCTCTGCATCAGAACAAAAGTAAAATGATTTTCAGTTTTTTGAAGGAATTTAGGAAAGCCTATAAATTGTTAAAAAAAGAATAGAGAAGATGTTTGTTGAAGAGAAATGGTCACCAAAATGGAGTGAGAAGCGAAGGAGGACTCAGTAAGGTTACCGTCAAGACACAAACTCAGCAGGGACGGAGAAACTAGACAGGGATGTCTGACATCTACCCCCACTGGCTTCCTGTTGGTGGGATTTGCCTTCTGGTCTGAGGGACAAAGAGGAGCTGCTCCAGGAAAGCAGGAGAGCGAGGCCCAGGGCCATCCCAGCAGCCAGAGGGGATGCGCTGGGGCCTACGCACACGGGAGGCGCCTGTCCACCTAGCAGCCTGACCTGGGCGTCCTCCGCCTCCCAGTCAGCGCACGCAGGGCAGGGCACATGGCCTTCAGCAGGGCTCCCAGCTGCTGCGTCTGGGCCTCTGCCCAGCCCTTTACCTTCCTGAGGAGGAAGAGCTTGATGCTGATGTGCCGGTTCTCCTGCACTCCTGATGTTGTAGAACAGCCAAGGCTAAATAATGCGAAACTCCTGGTCCAATGACGGTAACTTCTCTCTTTTTTAACTACAGTTTCTAAATCACTCAAAGGACCAAATTATGTTTTATGGTCCTTTATAAAATATTCATTCCCTCCTCCCCCGGCATTCTTAGTGGTTCAGGAAGCTGGCAAATAGTCTGATGTAAGGAGGAGCTCATTTCCTCCCAGACACCAGTGCAGAAGCCAGCGGGCTGCTGACAGCAGAGGGGCGCAGACCCAGGCACCCCGCTCCCAGACCCCTGCTTGCAGGACTCCTGGAGACTGGGGCAGGACGGCGCCAGGCTGCCTGAGGGGGCTGATGTCATCCTCAGGGCAATTGCCTTCTGCCTGCTTCTTCTCATACACGAAGCCCTTGCCCAGGGCCCTTCCAGCCTCCTTCTCTTCTGCGTCCTCTTCTCTGATGCTTCTGAGTTGTTCCTTGACAAGCTGGGTCCAGGGCAACAGTGAGCGGACGGAAACCTGGAGGGAGGGAGAACTATTTGTGGAGGAGGGGTATGGCTGCTGCAGGGACTGGGCCCCACGCCTTGAGTCTGGAGAGAAGGGAAGTTCCCGAGTGACCAAGGACCAGACTTAAGCCGCACAAATGACCTTCTTCATGGTCGTTGCACAGTTTGTAAGGATGTTCGTATCTCGAGCCTCACACAGGCTGGATCTGAAGCCCGACTTCCAGGCCCAGTGTGCCCTTTGAGTGGCCTGCGTGGCTTTGCTTCCCTCCCTTCAGTTTCCTTCCCTGCACTGCGAGAGGAGAGGTAATGTGTGTGTGGCACCAGCAGCTTCAGCCCGCAGCTGGCCAGGGGAACCCGCTGGAGCCTGAGACCAGCTCAGGGAGTCTCTGGGCCTCCACCCACTAACCAGTGGAAAAGCCACATCTCTGCGAAGAGCAGTGGTGGTGGCAACACCCAGAGGGCAGTGGCCGCCCAGTCCCTGACACCGGCCCATCTCCAGGTCTGCCCTGCAGGCGAGGAGGGCCTGGCTCTCAGGAGAGGCCTTGAGCTTACCCATGTTCTCCATGGCACTGCCCACACAGGCCATTCCCCTTCCTCCCTAAATGGGATGCTGTATTCTGAGATCAGATGAAGGATAGCAGAGCTGAAGGCTCTCACACTGACAGCCAAAACTTGGAGAGGTGAAAATCGCAGGAGAGATGTTTCTAACCGATTCATGCTCTGAAACTCTCAAGGTATTCTGCATCTCCTACTCAATCCCAGAGCCCGCTGATCAGAGAAGCCCCAGTCAGGCGATGCAGGCATTTACGTTCTCACCATAACCTAGGTAGGAATCTCTGGGCCTGAGCCCCCCAAGCTTTATGACCTGCAGAAGACAGAATTCCCAGCCCTTCCAGGGAACTCGAGCCATGCACGTGGGTGGGGGAGACAGGGAGAGGCCCAGCTCTCTTTCCTCCTCACCACCTGTCTTGTATCCACACACACTGGAGACCTGACACCAATTCATATGTTTGTTCAGCAGATACATTCTGAGTATCTTCTGTGTACCAAGCACAGTTAAATGCTGGATACAGAGTAGGGGAAAACAGGCACCCCTGACACCAAGGATGTGATACTCACATGTGTATGTGTGTCTATCAGTGTGTGTAGCCACAGGTACGTGCACATGGGGCTTGGGGAGCTTACAGCTGTGAGAGGATAATAAAAAATGCCTCGTTAATCGATTGATGCTTTCTGATTAATAAGTTCTGGGAAGAAATGGGAAACACAAAGCACTTTGAGGTTTTTAGATAACATACATAAAATACCGTGTTTCCCTGAAAATAAGATGTAACCAAATAGCCCTGCCAGGTTGTCACCATGGTGATGGCCAGGTTGGGCAGATTAAACTCCCTGTTCTCTTGCTCCTGGCTGTTCTGTAAGGCAGGTGAGGCAAGGACAGGCTGACTGGGGCTGGCACTTGGGCTCTCATTTTCAAGGCCAATTGTTTTCCAGTTTGATCTTATTTGGGGGGAAACACAGTACAAACACACATGACACGCACCACAACCTGTATGCAGCACACATCCAAGTGTACGCCCGCACACTATGGAGGACAGGCTCAACAGCGGTGCCCGATGCCCCAGGGTGGCTATGCCTCTCGGGTCCCCCCAACTGTGACCTGGGCATGTGGGATGTCACAGAACTCCCCAGAGGACTTGTCTGGATGGCCAGGTCACAGGATGGAAAGTGGCTGCAACCACAGCCATGAGGCACTGCACCTGGCTGTACAGCTAGGGATCCCAGAACCTCAGAGAGGCCACGGCTTGCAGGAAGGTGGCCAGAGGATGGCCTGGAGTGGGGACGCACCCACTGAGCAGCTGGGAGGAACTGAGCTGCCTCCAGAGTTCAACCCCTGCACCCCGCTGTCAAGTGCACAGAGCTAACCTCCATGACTTCCTTCTGCACACACGCACACACACACACACACACACACACACACACACACACACTCACGGGCACACGTGTACACGCGGACACGTCTGAGCCTCGAGTTACTGTCTCCTCTCCAGCGGGCAGTCTGACTTGGAAAGATAAAGATACACCCCAGCTTAGGCACAGAGAGGAGGCGCGCATGGTACATCTCAAAGCCAGTAGCCCTGGGAAGCCCACCATGTGCTCTGCAGCTCCCGGAAAGGAGACAGAAGGTTCCAATTTGAATTCCATTCTCCTAGGAAAAAACCCGAAAGGCCCCTTTACCCTGCTCCTCTGGAAGGGGCCCTGCTCTGGGAACATGTCCGCATTCCCACATTCCCTCAGATGGTTTCTCCCTCCCTAGTCAAAATAGGTCTCTCACGAACAGAAAAGCAGGGTGAAGTGGGGGACTTGGCCTGAAGCTGTCTGGGACTCTGCAGCTGGCATTTGTGACTTTGTCAGCTCAGGAACTGACCCAGACGGAGCACAAGCCAGGCCCAGAAAGGGGAGGCTCCGATTTGCCAGGTCCCTTAGCTGCCTGGGGAAATATCAAACCATTGGCCTGTCCGGGGCTCCCTGAAAGCATGGAGTGAGCAAAGGGCTGTGTGCCTAGAATCGTTCAGGGGACCGTGCGGAAGACTGTTGAGTCATTTACAAAGTCACAGGTAAGTCTCTTTCATCACTCCTTCCTCGTGGCCTAGGTGGCACCTGGTAAACATCAGCACTCAATATTTGTTGAATGAAACAAACAAACAAACAAAAAACACCTTCCATACAACTGGATTGATGTCAAGTTCCTACAATATTTGAAGAAATGGCCTGATTTCTCTCCTTTCCAGAATCATACCCATGGTATTCTAAGGAAAACACCACAGGGGAAAAGGGAGGCTTCCTCACTCAGTGTTGGGACCTGGGGGCTGAAGATCATGTTCAAAGAGCACAGACCACTGTCCGGGATGCCACTCACCAGCTGTGTGGCCTTGGGCATGTCTCTTCATCTGAGTCTCAGTTCCCATCTCCAAAATGAAGCTAAAATTTTCTTTCTCTCAAGTTAACATGAAGATATTTGGAATATTTTACATGAAATGATGTTTAAGAGCAATTATTTATGTTTTTTTTACTGATATTATAAATTAAATTATCATTATTCCTTCCTCTTCTCCTTGTGTTTGTCACAACTCTGGGGATAAAACTTTGCCCTAAGAATCTATAACCCTACATCTCTCTGGCTTTTCCTTCCTCCCTTTGCACACCTGACAGCAGAGCCAGGCTGGTGGATCTGCTTTGAGACGTGCGGCTCTCCTGAGTGCATTTGGGGCACTGATGAGAAGCCATCTCCAAGGTGTTACTTTAGCCAGCCTTCCATTGCTGGGACAAAATACCTGATGCCCGCAACTCAAGAGGGGAGGCTTCTCTTAGCTCATGGCTTCTGAGGTTCCAGTCCACGGCTTGCTGGCCCTGAAGCAGAAACACCAGGGTAGAAGGGCCTGGTGGAGGACAGGGGCTCACCTCATGGCATCCAGGAAGCAGAGGGCGAGGGAGGAACCAGAGAGCAAGAGGCCAGGAACTAGACGCCATCCCCAGGTCACACTTCCTACATTTCCATCACCCCAGTTGTGATCGCATCGTAGATTAACCCACAGATGAAGTTAGAGCCTCACGAGTCCATCACCTTCTGAAAGCCTCACTCCGAACAATGAGATTTGGGGAGATACCTTAGGGCTAAACCATAACGGGGTTTTAATTAAAATTATCCAAGACTCTGAGATAGGACGGCTTGGGTTTGAACCTCATCTCCTCCACTC